GGGTTGCAATGGGGGGGGACGGGGTGGGCGGGGCGGGGTGGGGTCCCGCCGCAAGTCGCGTTCACACCAGGACAGGTCCCGCCTCTCCATGACTTGGTCCCTCCCCGGTCCCAGCCTAGCCCAGTCTTTACCTGCCCCTCCCCTCCCCTCCCTTCGCTCTCTCTTTCCTCCCCCTCCCTTCCCTCTCTCTTCCCCTCCCCTCCCCTCCCGGTCCCGCCATCTACAGACAAAGCCCCACCCCATCCACTCTAGACTCCGCTCATCCCAGTTAGGCTCCATCTTTCCCTCGCATCGTCCCTCCCAGCTCGGTCCCACCCCCTCCAAACCAGGCCTCGCTACTCCCGGCCAGGCCCCACCCTACCTCCCTCGCACCGTCCCTCCATGACTTGGCCCCAAACCCTCCAGGATGGGGCCCGGCACTTCACGACTCGGTCCCTTCTCCCTCTTGCTAAGCCCAGTTCTTTCTTGACTCGTCCCGCCCGTCCACTCCCGGTCTCGGTCCCGCCCCCTCCAGATAAGGCCCCGTTCCATCTTCTTCAGGCCCCGCCCCCACGACAGACCACGCCCTTACCCCTTGTCCCTCCCTTCGTGACTCGGTCCCACCACCCACCAGGCCAGGCCCCGCCCCTTTCGGCCTCTGCTCCCGCCTCCCACCTCAACGGTCTCCTAGGGTCTTCAGGTGGGGTTTGTCCCTTCCTGCCTTCCCTCGTAACTCACCCTACTCCCCACTACCCTCTCCCACCAGGTCTCACCCAGAAAGTTCTGGTAGCAGTTACGGGTCTGATTCTGGTTGGGGAAGCGCGGGTCGAAGGGCGGCGTCCACCACTTCCCATTGGGGGGCTTCTGGGCTTCAACATCCAACATCCACGGAAGAGACAGATCCTGTGGGGCGGGAGTGGGGCTCCGTGGGGTCTAGGAGGTGCCCCTCGCTTTGACCCGCAACCCGCTTTTGACCTCCATCGCTAAACCGTACCCGTTCTTCCTTCACCAGACTTATGTCAACGCGTCTCTGGGTCAGCTGTGCTTGTGGTTCCCGAGGTGCCCGTGCTTCTGAGTCTGGGGGGTCCCACCCAGGTCAGGAAAAATAAGACCCCCTGGCCAGATTGGCTGGGACCCCCGGAGCCCCAGCCAATGGGAGCCGTTGCGCTGCAGGGACCATTCTGGAGCGCGGAGTGGAGTCGGTGGAGACCCCGCTCCCTCCTCCCTGCTTCTGCCCGAAGGCCCCTCGGGGCTTGCGCTCACACATAGGCACGGCGGCGGAACTTTGGCTGAGTCTCAGACTTAGACTTTTAATCTCTGCGAAATTGAGCTTTCCCGCAGGCTCTCCCCCGCCCCCCGCCCCCCAGTATATAAATGTATAGATAGCGGTAGTCTCTACCAGGGAGGAAAAAGCCCCCATCACACCCGGCCTTTTCAGGACTCTGTTTCTTACAGTAGGGGTGCACAGCACCCTGGGGGCCTGTAGAAGAAGACGAAAGAGGAGGGTGGGGTTTAGGTTCCCGGGACCTTCCCAACCCCTCCCAGAGCCAGGTCTAAGGCAGGTCTTCAGGGTCTCAAGAGGTACCTGACAAGCTGGGCTTCTCAGAACAGTTTGCCAACTGAGGTTTAGTCACCTGCAACCTGCTACTGAAAGTGCTGGGAACGTTGCATGCTGGAGGGAGAAAGTCAGAGAGGGCTTTGGGGGACTGGCAGGGAGAGACTGGTATCTAAGTCTCTAAGAGTTGCAGCTGCATGGTTCACAGGACAAGCCTTGCTGTGTGTCTAGTTCACTGTTGTACATGCCTAGGGCAGAGCCTGGCAGTAAGTAGTAAATGCTCAATAAATCCACGCTGAATGAATGAGTCTTGGCTTTCTAGGCAAACAAGAGTGAAATCTGGTTTCACCTCCTGGGCGCTGCTATGTCTCTTTCTCCCTCTTGACACCTTAATATCAGACCTTACTCTGGATCATTCACACCATTAACCAAATGCACTAGTTAAGAAGCCCTCTCTTTTCCCACTTCCTGCCCCAGCTACCTCCCCACGTCTCTCCTCTCTTTACAGCTAATTACTTAGAAAGAGCTGGTCTATCTATTCCTTGTCTCTGATTTCCCTCTTTGCATATATATACGTATAGTATAGTACCACTGTCACCATTTTAAAGTGTACCCTTAAAATGGCATTTGGTATATTCACAAATGTTGTGCAACCACCACCTCTGTCTAGTTACAGGACATTTTCTTTATATATATATATATGTAAAGACATATATATATATGTGTGTGTGTGTGTGTGTGTATATATGTGTATATATATATGTATATATAGATATGTATATAGCATTTTCTTTATATATATATATATGTAAAGACATATATATATATGTGTGTGTGTGTGTGTGTATATATGTATATATATATATGTATATATGTATATATAGATATGTATATATGTATATATATATGTATATATGTATGTATATATATATTACTTTTTTTCTTTTTGGTGGCCGGCTTGTGTGGAGATCCAAACCTGTGACCTTGATGTTATAAGGCTGCACCCTAACCAGTTGAGCTAACCGGCCAGCCCCTAGGATGTTTTCATCACCCTAAAAGAAAGCACCAACCCATTAGCAGTCACTCCACATTACTCCACCCCCAGTCCCTGGCAACCACCAATCTACTTTCTGTCTCTACAAATTTGCTTAGGACATCTCATAGAAATGGAATCCTACATTATGTGGCCTTTCGTGTCTGACTGCTTTCACTAAGCATAATGTTTTCAAGGTTCACCCATGTTGTAACTGACTGATTCCTCTCTATACTCTCTTTAGCCTGCTCCAGTCCGGTCTTTGTCCCCACCAGGTCAACTCCACGCTGGTAAATCCAGAGGTCCTATCTCAATCGTTGCCTTCCTTCCCCGACCGTGGCATCAGACATGTATGTTCCCTCGCTGTCCCTCAGCACCTTCTTCTTGTAGTGTTCTGGATGCCCCTGTCTCTTGCTGCTCTGCTGTCTCTGTACTTTTGGTTCCTCTTTTTCTAAACGCCTTGGACTTTGTCCCTTCTCTGTCCACTCGCTTGCTGGTGACCTCTTCCAGTCTCACAGCTCAAAGTAACTCATCCATAGGCCAATGACTCTCCAAATTACTTCCCCTAAACTCCAGACTCACATATCCAACTGCCTACCCCAAGTCTCCCCCAGACATCTCAGCATTGAGATGTCCAAAACAGAATTCCTGATCTCCTTGAAACCTACTCCATTCATGATCTTTCTTGTCTGCTGCCAGTGTTCACTGCATTCTTTGTGTCTCTCAGGCCCCAAACCTCCCAGCCATCCTCGATTGTCACTACTCTTGCGTCACATGCCCAATCTATGAGGTAATCTGTTGGCTTAACCTTCGAAGTATCTCCAGAGTCCACCACATCTCAACACCTCTATCCCTTCCCATCTTGTCCAAGTCACTGCCATCTCATCTCCCCGTTTATTGCAACAGCCTCCTCCCTGTCCTCCCAGCCTCCACCTTTGCTCTCTCTACATTCTCTATTCCCCAGCCAGAAAGAGCCCTTTCCAAACATAAATCAGTTTCCACCATCCTTCTGCCTCAAACCCTTCAGTTTGCTCAGTGTCAAAGCCGAAGTCCTTAAAATTGTCTAAGTCCTATATGATTGATGACCCATTACTCATCTGACTGCATTTCCTGCTCCAAGATCCCCTGGAGCTCACTTGGTCCCACACATCATGCACACTCCTGCCTCAGGGATTTTGCAGTGGCTGTTCCTTCTTAATGGAGACTTTTCCCCCAGAAGTCCTCATGGCTTTTTCCCTCCCCTCTTTCTGGTCTTTGCACAGATAACACCAGCCCAGCGAGGCCTTCTTAAACCACCTTTGGTGTGGTAGAGGGCAGTCCTGTGCATTGTAGGATGTTTAGCAGCAACCCTGGTCTTTACCCACTAGAAGCCAGTAGCACAACCCACTACCCCCACCCCCATTGTTGGATGCTATATTTCTGTCTAGAAAAATGCCTGGCACATAGTTGACACTATGTATTGAGTGCATGAATAAAAGTGAAAGGAGGGAAGGATTGTCTCTATCTGGCAGAAAACAGAGTTGACAGTAAGCCTTAGCTGCTAACCCAAATACCTGGAGAAAGGATTAAAGGTGCCCGGTTCTTCCTTTGTCATCTCTGCCTTGGTGGCCTTGTCCCTCATATGCTCAATTTCCAAGAGCATAGGTTGGAGGATTTTCGAGGATAACTCTGTTGTAGCCAGAGGGTGCTGGTTTGGCATCCTCATGGGCTCTTGGGATATTCTTGTGGTCTGTTGGGGCACCCTGGCTGTGGCCTCCATTCTTGAAATAGGGATAACTGGGAGGGATGGCTGAGGGATGTCCTCCCACCTTGAGGCGAGCAGGGGGATGGGAACCTGGGAGGTATTGTCTATCTTTGGGCTGCTGGAGTTAGGCATAGATTGGAGGGGCACCTTGGGAGGCCTCACTGGATCCCATGGCTTCTCCATCTTTGTCCATTGCTGCCTGTCCTTTTCCCAGGTATGTGACTCTGGCTGCTCCCTGACCTCCACTGGTGTGCCCTCCAGAGAGGAAAAATGGCTGGGGCCGAAGGGTACTGAGGCTCTTGTAGATATGGTGGATTCCTGGGAAGTCACCGAGAGCCATGAGGGTAGCGAGACCACACCTGATCTCAAGTGCTGCTCTTTGGAGTTGGCCATGATCATCAGCTTGGCAAGGGCAAGCCCCTCCATGGAGAAGGGTCTGCTGTGCTCCTGGGGGGGCCCCTCAATGGCCAGCTCCTGGGTCTTGACCCATTCCTCCTTCTGCTCCACCTCCTTGGACCTCATGCCAGGCATGTGTAGGGATATCTCCTCCTTCATCCTGTGGGTCCCGTCCTCTGACTTCCCCTTGCCTTTCAAGCCCTTGAAGGTAATCTCCTGGGTTCCGTTAATCAGGACCTCCTCGGACTTCTTGGTTGTGGTGAAGGGAAATTCTAGGGACATTGCCTGGGTCCTTGTCTCTACCACATTAGTCTTCTGGGTACCCACCATCACCACTGGCTCTGGTTTCTCTTTAGACTTGCCTTTCCTGAGCACATCCCTTCCAGGAATTCCTGTTGGCAACACGTCAGAATTGGCAGGGATCTTCTGCCATGAGGTGGGTGAGCTGAGTACCATCTGGCACTGGGTAGGTGAGGTTGGAGCCTTCTGGGATGGGGTAGGTAGGAACAAAGATTCTGTCTTTGGGGCACAGGGCAATACAGTCTTCTGGAGAATAGCAGGTGCAGGTGGGGCCTTCTTAGGTGGTGGTGGGATCTTCTGGGGTAGGGCAGGTATGGCTGGGGTCTTCTGGGGAACAGTAGGTTTGGCAGAGGCCTTCTGAGATGGCCTAGGTACAGCTGGAGGCTTCTGAGATGGAGCACATAGACCTGCACCCCTCTGGGATGAAGCAGGGAGAGCCGGGACCTTCTGGGACTGGTCAACAATGAATGGTGCCTTACAAGAGGTAACAGGGACAGATGGGGCCTTCTGGGAGGGTGGTGGTCCCACTCTCTGCCGGGATCCTATAGACCTGGCCTTTTCACTGGGCCTGGGGAAGGAGGAGTAGTGTGCAGACAGGTAGACAGCAGAAGGGTATAAAGCTGGGCCAAAGGAGGAAGAGGACAAAGTGCTGGAATCGGGGTTCATGAGGTCTTCCATGTCCTTCTGCCATACATCCAAATGATCGTAAGAACCCGGAAAAAAGAATCCAGGGCCGTCACCCGAGATACAGTGAGAAGGGGTCTCAATTATATGTTCCTGACCTGTGACCTCCTCAGAGTCAGACAAGTAGACCTGTAGGTGGACGGAGGGGAGGAGATGCATGCTCAGAGCCAGGGAGACCCCAGACTCAGGAGTCCAGACACCCAACCCCTCCTCCATCCAACCTAGGAGTCCAGGTCCCCAGCCCCTCCTCCATCAGACCCAAGATTCAGGGCCCCCAGCCACTCCTCCCTCAGACCCAGGAGTCTGGGCCTCTGCCCCTAGTAGATAGCTGGCCTTTGTAGCGGACTGTGTCTGGTGGACAGTGCTAGAAATGATGCTGAAGATGGTCCTGATGGTGATGCTGGTCTTCTCTGGGTAGGGAGAGAGCAGTCTGAGCCCTTTGGAGAAAGGACCAGAGCCACAGAGAGTTCACACACAGTGGCAGAGCGAGGGGGTAGGGGGCTGCTCCTACCAGTAACATGGAGTTCGGTGTGAGATCTGTCAGGGCAGATGTCTGGGTAGGACCTGTAGGAGCAACATCATGGGACTTTGGTGGCATCTGCACCAGGGTCCCCATCCTTCTCCCAACCCCCACCAGCAATAAGATCCCTTGCCCACTTCTTTTCGGTGGATTTCTTCCTAGGGTCAGCATGCTCCAGCTGTGACCAGATGAGAGGCACGGAGTCACCCACAGCCTGAGACTTGAATCTGAGCTTGAGGGCCTGGCAGGGAGTGAGGCAAGGACAGTCAGAGAAGGGGCACCCCCCCTTCACCCATTGGGCCAGCCTGGGGCCTGCTCACCTTGGCCTTATTTTGTTTCTGAGGTTTCAGTGTCTTATGAGGCTCAGCAACCGTGACTGGAAAGAGAGCAGGAGACCACAGGTCAGGGATCTTGAGTGAGAGGTCATGGGAGCAGGCCCTGAGGAGCCCATGGAGGGCTCAGCCAGGGGAGAGCAGGGGAAAGAGCCTGGGTGCTGGAGCTGTGTTCATGACCTGGGAGTGGATGGCAGAGTGTGCTCACCTGTACGTCCACTGAGGGACCGGTCCTGTGGAAAGGGAAGAGGGGCAGTTATGGGGGGGTCCACCCCTCCCTGGATCTTACATCTCCATTACCTACCCAGCCAGCCCTCTATGCCCACCCCCCCATCCAGGATACAGGATCTGGGACCCCTAGTCCCTTCTGCCTCAGACCCAGGAGTCCAGACTCCCAGCCCCTTGTCCTTCAAACCCAGGAGTCCAGGGCCGGCCCGTGGCTCACTCGGGAGAGTGCGGTGCTGATAACACCAAGGCCCCGGGTTCGGATCCCATATAGGGATGGCCGGTTAGCTCGCTGGGTGAGCGTGGTACTGACAAACCCAGGAGTCCAGGTCCCCAGCTCCATTCCTGGAGGACCCTGGAGCATGGACTCTTGGTCCTAGTTCCCTCTGAATCTAGATGGTGGGTTCCTAATCCCCTGAGATCTGTGGAGCTGGGGCCTCACCTGGAGGTGCCAGGTGGAGGCAGGTGCTTTGGCCAGGGACATGTCCAAGGGAAGAGTTTGCAGAGTCCTGGGGGCCCAAGAAGTGGCAGGCTTCTGAAGCAGGTTGATGAGACGGATCCAGCGGTCGAACAGGAAGCCCACCTCGTTGTCTGGGGCATCGAGCTCCAGGTAGTAGTAGCGGCCTGTGACTAGGCACAGCTTCAGGCACCAGGTGGCCAGGTTGTGGACATAGAAGTGGACGAGGTCCAGTGGGATCATCCTGAAGGAGGCAGGAGACTCAGGCAGCTAGAGCATGAGGTGGGGGAGAGGGCAGCTGGGGATGGAGGGATGAAGGCACCTGGTCAGGACGAGGTTGGAGCATTCCCTGCCCTCAGGGGGCCGAGCGATGAGCAGGATGTCTGGCAACATCAGGCCTGGCAGGGAGGCGGCCACCCCCATGGTCAGACGGTTGGTTCTGTGATGTACATACACAGGGTCCCCTCGATTTGTCACCTGGGGGGGGCCAGGGAGAGGGGCTGGGACCACACCTTTCTACAACAGACTTTTAACACCCACTTCTGAGCACACCCCCAGCTGCTGAAGCTCAAATCCCCATCCTCTTTAAAATTTCCCAACCCAGGCGTTCTTGCTACCCTCCGGCCCCTCTCAGCCCCCAAGGCACAGTGAGCTGGGGACCTGGACAAAGTTACTCTCGAACATGGGCAGCGGGCGGAGGGGCAGGTACTCGCCCTTCTGGAGGGTCTTCTGCAGCTCCCCTAGAACAGGGACCCACTTTGGGGGGGCCTGGAGCCGTTCAACATGCCTGAGGTTCCGGAGCCGCTTCATGATGGCTGCAGAAGCGGTGGGTGGAGTATGAATGTAGGGACCCAGGACCCAGGAACCCAGGAGTGTGCATGCCCCACTCCCCTGCCTCAGCCCACCGGCCTTGGCCCCTTGGGCTTCTCAGGTGCCAGGAGCTCAGCTGTTACAGAGAGTGGAGGAGCTTCCCCAGGGCTAGGAGACGTGGGCGTTGGCCATGGCCCTGCAGGGGTAGACAGTACCAGCCTGGGGGAGGAGCCTTCAGTAGAGGGGCTTTGTGACCTCATCGGACACACAGAGGGCTCTTCCTGGGAACTCTTTGGGGGCCATGGACTCCCTTCTCCTCTGGAGATATGGCCTAGAGTCTTTTTTTTTCTTTTGGCCTGAAGTCTTGAGGGCTGGGATGGGCAAATCAGAACCCCAGGCCCAGGCTGGGCAGCCACCACCCCAGACCCAAACTGATGACAACACAGGACCCCCTGGAGAGACTGGGTTATTGTAAATGGATGACTAACCATAGGGTTTGAGTTACAGTCCCTGCTCTGCCAATGACCCTTCTCTAGACCGTGGTAAGACCCAAACACTTACTGAGCCCGTTTCCCTATTATCTGTGTGTGCCCATGTCAACGGTTCCTGAACACTGAGCTGTAAAGAAGGGACTCAAGCTTTGATATGAACTAGACCTACAGCAGAATCACAGTTCTGTCTCTCCCTAGCTGTGTGATCTTGAGCAACAGATACTACCCTCTCTCCCCAGTCTGAACCTCAGTTCCCTCACCTGTAAAACAGGGTATATGCAAGGATCTAGGGCAATCGTGTAAGTAAAAAGCCCACACTCAGAGCATGGCCCACAGCAGGGCTTAATTATCATTCTTGTCCCCTTCTAAGGGCTTTTTTTTGTGGGGGGGTGCTGATATTCTGTCATTCTTTTTTTTTTTTTTTTTTTTTTTAAATGACCGGTAAGGGGATCTTAACCCTTGACTTGGTGTTGTCAGCACCACGCTCACCCATTGAGCTCACGGGCCATCCCTATATGGGATCCGAACCCGTGGCCTTGGTGTTATCAGCACCACACTCTCCTGAGTGAGCTACGGGCTGGCCTGATATTCTGTCATTCTAAAATTAGTGTTTATGGGGCCGGCCTGTGGCTCACTCGGGAGAGTGTGGTGCTGATAACACCAAGGCCCCGGGTTCGGATCCCATATAGGGATGGCCGGTTCGCTCACTGGCTGAGCGTGGTGCTGACAACACCAAGTCAAGGGTTAAGATCCCCTTACCGGTCATCTTTTTATAAAAAATAAATAAATAAAATAAATAAATAAAAATAGTGTTTATTATTTTTTTAAATGTGTCATGCAAAATATACAATCATGGTAGAAATTCTGGAAAGTGCAGACAAGCACAAACGATAAAAGTCACCCACAATCCTCCCTCTCACCTTTGACCCTAAGACAGTCAGTGTCAACATTTTAGTGTATTTCTGTCTAGGATTAAAAGAAAATCCATATATATAGAAAGAGAAACAAAATTGGGTTCATGCAGTGGTTTTGTAGCCTGCTGTTTCATGTCACAGGATATCTTTGTGTGTCTAAAGTGGTCTTCTTTCCTATAACATCCCTTTTTACTACTAGGTGGTAATTCCATCATGCAGATGTACCATATTTTATTTAACCATCCCCCACTGTGGGACATTTAGTTTGTTTCCAATTTACTATTGTCAACATTACCATAATGAATGACCTTAAGCTTGCAGCTCTGTCCTGTACAGGTAATATTGGTCACAGGATGACCTTCTAGAACCTTCCATTAATTATTTACTGAGGATGTATGAAGTGCTGGGCATCAGGTGAGGTTCAGACCCTGCCTCCACAGAGCTCTCTGGGCAGCCAACCAGTCTCCCCTCCTCTGCCCTGTCCACTCAGGACCTCTGCCTCCTGCCCCAGAGACCCAAGTGTCCATCCCCAGACCTCAGAAACATCACCCTTAGAGCCGGCCCATGGCTCACTCGGTAGAGTGCGGTGCTGATAACACCAAGGCCCCGGATTCGGATCCCATATAGGGATGGCCGGTTCGCTCACTGGCTGAGCGTGGTGCTGACAACACCAAGTCAAGGGTTAAGATCCCCTTACCGGTCATTTTTAAAAAAAAAAAAAAAGAAAGAAACATCACCCTTAAGTGGATATGTATGACAAATTTAATTCCTTCTCTCTGTCTCATAAAGGTTTCTCACATTTTTATACAAAAATCCCAAGCCTCTCTTTTCCCTCCCTCCCACCCCAATTCAGAAAGTAATGGTTTAATAAATAATATATGCTCCTGCCCAGGCCCAGAGGGGTGGGAGCCAGGAAGACAACTGTGAACAGATTTCTTGGAGATCCAAGAATATGGGATCCCAGTTTTCTCCTCCTCAGGGACCCATAAGTCCACCTGCCTCTCACCCCCCACTCCTTAAATAAATAAGTATAAATAAGGCACAGATCCCCCCTTCAACCTGGCCTAGGTCTCCTGGAAGGACTGTATCTAACTGGGGGGGATAATGGGGGGATATCCCCTGGCTGTCATGCCCCCAGTACTAAAATAAATAAATAAATAAGATCTGGCTTTGAAGGACGATGGTGACTTTGGGTCCTGGGTCACAGCCGAGTCTTCAGCAGCAGCAACCCCCGCACAGCCCAGTCAAGTGTCAGGTGCAGCCCCCCTAGGATGGCATGGGCCGCCCTGATGCCTCCCCAGGCTGAGGCAGGGGGAGCCAGGGGTGGTGCTGGCGGATCTGGGGACACCTGGGGCAGGGCCAAGCGGGACATCTGTCAGGAGAGGACCAAAAGTTAGCAGAAAGCCGAGCGTACAGTGGGGGTCCGGGGAAGACTGAATCAGGGTTGGGAGAAGTCTGGTCTGCATATTTGCAGAGTCTCTGGTGTGTGGGATGAGACGTCTGGGCAGGTAGCCCTTCAGGGTCTTGAGTTCAGAAAATTGATGCTGGGGTGAAAACGTTGCCATCTTAAGGGTGGGCTTCCAGGGCCAAGTTTTGGGGGTGGCAGGTGAGGTCTGTCGAGGCAGGCCTGGGATTCTGGTGCTGGAGGCTCTCAGAGTGTCAGGGCTAGAATCTTTCCTTTTTTTTTTTTGGTGGGTGTCCTGTATGGGGATCCAAACCCTTGACCTTGGTGTTACAACACCGCACTTTAACCAACTGAGCTAACCGGGCAGCCCATGGCTAGAATCTTGGAACTAAAATTTTAGAGACATTGTCTGGTGTCTGAGGGCTCATAGCTGAGATCAGGCCCAAGATCTCAGGGATGGGGTCTTAGACGTGGGGTCTCTAGGATCAAGCTCAGGGACTCATGGGTGAGGGTTGGGGTCTCAAGTCTGGGATCTCTGAGCTTTTGAGCTGGAATTTGAGGTCCACATCTTTGGGGTCAGGCCCAGGAACTGGGTGGGGTCTGAAGTCTTCTGGTCTCAGGGTTTTGGGTCTGGGGTTTTGGAAGTTAGGGTGTTGCAGCTGGCCAGTATGGAGAGGGGCTGGAATCTTGTAGTTAAAGATCTCATGGTCTAGGTTTGTGAGGTCTGGGATTTGTGGAGCCAGGGTCTCAAGGCTGGCTTTGGGTTAGGGTCGTGCATCTTAGGACCTGGGTCTGGGCCTTGAGGTCTCAGCATCTCAGGGCTTGGGTCTTGGGTCTTGGGATCTAGAGGTTCATGGTTTTTGGTGTCTTGGGGCCAGGGTCTCCAAGTCTTGGGGTGAGGGTTTGGATACTCAAGTCTTAGGGCTTCAGCGGGTAGGGATCTTGGGTCTCAGAATTTTAGGTTATAAGGTTTGTAGTTTCAGGGCAGGATCTCAGGGTCTGGGTTCTCACAGTCTCAGGGGCTGGGATTTGGGAGCCACAAGATCATGGACTATGGGATCTGAGAGTCTTGGGGTGAGGGTTTGGAGTTTCCAGGCAGGATTTTGGGGTGTGGGGCCTCAGGGTCTCAGGGCCACAAGATCTTGGGAAGGTAGAATCAGGGTCTCAGAATAGAGATCATGTCTGGGGTCTGGGTTTCCTGGGCCACTTTGGGGTTCTGGGTCTCAGGATTCAAGGTTTTGGGGCACAGGTTTTTGGGGTCTAAGGTACCAGGGTCTGGGGTTTCAGGTGTCAGAACCAAGGCATACCAGGAGCTGCAGCCGGCGCAGTAGCCGGTCCAACCGGGCCTGCAGGGCACCCAGCTCTGGCTCCAGGGTCTTCAAGGAGGGGCCGCCTGCCCGGCGCAGCCACTGCACGTGCCGCAGGTAGGACAGCAAGTCAGCTCGCAGCCTGGTCAGCACACCCGGAAGCTGGGGATTGGGGCAGGGGTGTCAGAGAACACCCAGTACATGCCCACACTGGCCCCCATTCTCCCACCCTCTTCACTGCCCAACTCTCACCTTTCCTTCCAACATACTCCCCTGCCCTTACCTGTAGGGCTCCCAGTGCCCCTGCACTCATGGCCAAGGTGGGTAGGGAATCCAGATTGTGGTCCCCGTCAGCTGGGAATTTGTCTCTCTGGTGGAAAAGAAGCTGTGAGGGCAACCCTATCCAGCCTTGGGTCTCTCTCCACCCCTACCTCAGGTCTCAACTCCTTCCTCCCCTGACTCTGCCACCCTGGGAGCCCAGAAGCCTTCCAGGTGGCTTATCCACAGACACCTCTCCCCTTAGTAATTCTCCATCTCTGTCATTCTCTGTCCTGCAACCAGCCATCCCCTCCAGTGTCTCCTACCAGCTGTGCGGCCAGCTGCCGAGTGTCCGCCAGGAGGGAGCGGGTCAGGAGGACAGCACTGTCCAGCTCAGCCCGAGGGTCTGGCGAAGCTCGAGGGAGGCCAGGAGGTGGGCCAGGGGCAACAGCTCTATTTGGCCACAGGCTCAGCACGACCAGGACCAGGCGGCAAACACCTGGGAGCGGGAGGAGGCAGTGAGCTCGGGCTGGACTCCTGGGCCTGCGGTAGAAGGGGCTGGGGGCCCGGACTCCTGGGTCTGAGGGAGCAAGGGTCTGAGGGAGGAAAAGATCTGGACTGAATCTCAGGGGGCAGGGGCTGGGGCCCCGGACTCCTGGGTCTGAGGGAAGAAGAGCTGGAGGTCTTGAGTCCCACGGTGAAGCGCCCGGGGCAAGTCGCAGGGCCCTAGCGGGCTTCCCTCTCCCTCCCCGGCTCTGGCTGCCCCGCCCGTCAGAGCAGACGCGGCCCGGGGCGGGTAGACGGGCCGGGCGTCTCCCGTCCGCCCCCGGACGCCGGAATCTGGGCCCCGGGGCGGGGCATGAGGGGGGAGGCACAGGCCAGAACCTGCCCCCTCCCTGGGCCCCGGGAGCCTGAGCTGGACTGGGAGCAGGCGAAGGAGCCAGCCACCAGGACTGAAACCCGGAGGCACTGGCGCCTTCCCTGGGAGACCCCCGCACATCCCTCCGCTCGGGAGCCCCGCTACGGTGGGCCGCGGAAGGCCTGGCCGCAGTGCCCGGGATGACCCCGGAGCACACCTGCGCGGAAAGAGGCAGAGAAGCCGGCACAGTCCGGAGCGCGGGAGCAAGGGCCGGCGGCGGGCGTCCGCGGGCGCGGGGGCTCCGGCGCGCTCCTCCCACTCCGCCCATCCCCCAGCAGCCCCGCCCACCTCCCCACCGCCAGCCAATCAGCGCACCCCGGGCCG